TGAGCACACTGCCTCTTTCTAGTACAGTACAGTTGAGGCGAGCCATTTGTCATATTTAGTCATGCTTCAGAGTGGTCTGTGTGTGGCATAGCTAAATGGCAACAAACAGGCGGTGCCGCTTATAAAAATAAAGTTGTCCTTGCTGCGGAGTTGTCGCTGTTCAAGCTGGGCGGCATTTTGCAGCAGATAAAAAAAAATGTGTGCCACTGGAGGAGTCGCAACGTGGGACAACCCTGAAAATTTGATCGTGTGCTCTTTTAAGAAGTGCAGAATATCCAATGTGCTTGATGGCACTGAGGATCGCACCTAGTTTAAAGACATCGACAAAGAAGTCATTGACGAGAGAAGCAGCGACGACGACTCGGAATGGGTGCTGCATTGGACTATAAGCGGCACGAAATAAAAACGATGTCAAAGAAAGCCACACAACAGGACTAGAGGCTGCATGTTTCTTGAGTTATTTGCATCAGGAACCAACTGCTTTGTTTCATCCTCATGTTTAATAAATGTTTTCTCTTTGTGAACGCTCTCTTCGCTATTTCGTTGGGCCTACATTAGAAGTAAGCTTTTTTTTTCCGGGCTTCGGACTTTAGGGGGTCGGCTTAGAATCTAGGTTAGCCTAGATTCGAGTAAACACTGTATTTTATTCGTGACAAACTTGAGCCGACGAATAGGCAGTGTGGTGTGCATGCCTGCACTCAGTTGCATTACTTGTGCCCATGCCTGCTTCTTAGCGCATTTTACACGACAGCACGGGCAGCACCTCTTTATACCTGCACTGTAGTGTACATTTGTATCAAACGCAGGGGGGGGGGGGGGGGCGAACCTGTTCGCAACAACCGTACTTCATTGCATTGTGGGCCAATGGGCCTCGGATGGACCTCGGACGGGACCGAAAAAAAATTCATGTAACCTTGAAATCCGTACGAGCTGTGATCGTATCTTTGAGGTTTCACTGTACTTGTGTTGAAAGGGCCCTGCAACACTTTTTCAGCATCGTCGGAAAACAGTCAGACTCTCGGAAACATGTGAGCGAAACAGTATAACGCAGCAGGCAGCCTGGAATTTAAAATTAATTCTCAAGGTCAGCTTAAAATAGTTCCCTCTTCTCACTGTAAATCATGCCATAAACCCAAGTGAGCGCTCCATAAACCTAAAGGCCACAGACCTTGGGCGAATTGAACATCATGAGTTCCACAGTTACCACGGCCGCCACAGGATGCTGCCACGTGCCTGTGCACGATCATACTGAAAGGAAGGACTTACTTGATGGATTCTAAAAATTTTGTGGCAGTTTATTCGGGGGCAATATGCACGTTTTATGGAGCCGATTGATCTTTACTTGGAAAAGTGCTGCAGGGGTTCTTTAAAGGTCAACTCTGGCGATTTTTGAGGACAATGGATCTCTATGAAATTCGCTAGGTATCTTTTTTTGCTTATTTCCATCATTTGTTTCGAATTACAGACTAGCGATACAAATGAATGTTATATATTGCCCCGACTCTCACAACTGGCTTCCCACAATTGGCAACATTGTGTGTGCCAACATTTACAACAATGCGACAGAAGTGGCGGAACCGAGGTGAACTGGCTTCCCACAATTGGCAACATTGTGTGTGCCAACGTTTACAACATTGCGACAGAAGTGACGGAACCGAGGTGCTACTGCATCTTCTACTGTTCACAAGGCCAAGATCATGCGTGTTGCTTAGCCAATGTTGTGTTGGTTCGGCGCCCGAATTTGTTTTAGGCCTGCGTGTGATGGGTGGCAAGAGGCGTTGCATTGTGGTTGCCAAAAATTTGCCGTATAATTACTTGAGACCCTCAAGATAGACTCGGAGGTAATGATTACCCTTCCTCTCGATATTATGTTCTTTAGCTAGCAGTGCTGGCTCACCTCAAGGAAACTGTGTTACCGTATTTACTCGCATAATCCTCGCACTTTTCTTGGCCGAAAACCTATGCAAAGTTGGGGTTTGTGAAAATTACGCGGTAAAATCTTTCCACGAAAACGTACAGAGTGAAAAAGAAAACGAAGTGGCCGCAAATCGGGATTCTCACACCAGCAACTAATAGCAAGCTTTGAGGAGTACTAATTAAAACTTACAGATTTATTTGAGACACAAAAAGTGCAAGCAAATAGTCGAGAATTAGAATATCATACGCAACGCTTGTGTGCGTTGCGGGCGTAGTGGTAGCGTTCGTTGCTCAACAGGAGCCTTCAGAAGGTAAGCGTAAGACGACAGTATTGGGCTGATGGCCATTTAACAGAGTCGTCCGCAGTTTGCTTCTGAAGAAATAAAGTTTATCATGAATCCTAGTTTTAGGCACACGGCAGGCCCAATGCGTCTTGGTGGCTTTATCTTTATCTTGGGTGCGTCTTGGTGACCAGTAGCGAACACAAAACTCATAGACTCTGAAGGGCCAACCGGCGGCACTGTTGCTGTTCTTTAGTGCATAATCTATCACTTTCAACTTGAAAGCAGCCGTGTGGCTTCAGTATCGCCCCATAACGTGACAAGATTACCGACACAACATACAAAACACGCCGCAACGCGCACTGCCACTTTGGCTTGGCTTGTATTGAATTTCCGTGCAATAATAGCTCGCTTAATGCTTAAGAGATGGCGCTAGATGGCGTGTGCCATCATCATCAGTGACTGGAACGAGCAGACGACATTATTGCGGCAGTTTTCGGGGGTGCAATAATTACTCGAGGAAAAAAGAAATCGCTTTTTTGTTGAGCAATGTGAAGAGTGCAAGAAATATGCGAGTGCGAGGATTACGCGAGTAAGTACGGTAATACCATACTGACTGAAAAGGGCCCATGCGTGAGCATTATGACAGTGTACTAAGCGAGTGCACTACCGTATTGAAACACTTATTCGTGCAAAAGGCGGCGCATACTTGACTTAAATTTCTTCAGCTTTGCCAGCGCGATTTTAAACTCTGATATTGCCAAACATAGGCACTCTTTCTATAGCTATATTAAGAAGCTTCAGTTCGTCCGCGAACTTCTCCCCAATAGCATTTTACCGATCACGGCCCCACAAATGGCCTGGACAAGTAGTGCCATCTGACAGTGAAATGGACAACCATAAACTGCCATTCCTCTGTAAATTTTTCTTACTCCATATGCGGCCGAATCGGAGCTATCATTTTAGGACATCTCTGAGGAGCTTCTGCACATAGTACGGTCAGTAACAGACATGGTGCGGCTGTTGCAATGGGGTCCCCTTTCTCCTGAGTGTGTGCTCTTTTCCACTCTGCTGCTGTCATACTCAGCGCTGGCGAGACGAGCATGCCTTGCACGGTTTCCGGTTGGCATGGCTTTTGCCAACGGTCACAACACACGAAGATGGTACTGCAGTTGGGTTTTAGATCCGGTGTTGCACTTTTTTGCTAATTTAAAAGTATCCTTAACTTTGCCATGCGTTCCTGCTATCCATGACAGGAGCATAAGAACACCATTACTTTGACATGGCAAAAAAAGTTGCCAGAGTTGGCCTTCAAACTAAACTTGCTCCTTCTGTCTGCTTGAGCCTAGCACGCCGATTTGGGCTCTTTTTTTTTAACAGTATTGTAATACTCATCACTGTTTTAAGGGGTCTTAGACATTTTTTTGTTAATTTCTTCAGTGAAATTGATCAAACTGCACTGGATTATGCTTTTTTTCCTGCTGATTTCAAATATTTAATTAGTTTTCCTATAACTCTTCTTGTTGCTGAGATAACTTAAATTCATTCTCTGTTGTTTAAGGCAGTCGTAGAAAAAAAAGTGTTTAGATAAAGGTGATATTTAAGAAATGCCAACATAGACTAATGACTATAAATTGAAAGTATGCAAAGAGTTTTTTGTTTTTAGGCCTTTTTTGGTTATTTTACAGCAAAATGAACTATCCATTTTCAAAAGCAGTTGGAATTGTGTTACAATTTTGATGAGTAATAATTAAAAAGGCTTGTGCTTTGAATTCTGCTCCTATATTTGCATTCTGCACACATACAGATTTCCATTGCAAAAAGGATTGTTGTATTTTCCCTAGTTGCAGATATATTGAGGCCTTAAAATTGAACAGTCGTAAATTTACTTTTTTGTGAAAAATGAAAAAAAAAACTGAAAACACACAGCTTCTTCAAAAAGCAACAATCATGGTGTGCATGTTTTGCAATCCTCATAAAGGTGCTCATAAATTCGTAGCAGAGCTTATAACACAAGTGCCGGCAAATCATAAAGAAGCCTTGAAGTCGGTTCCCCATTTTTTTGGCAGGTTCCGCACGTTAACAGCACCGAGAATCTGGACAGTTAGAATGACATTACAAAAATATTACCACTTCCTGGTGTGTGAAAATTGGCAGAGAGATAAAAAAATGCTTGGAAAAACCAAATATGTAAATTTTAAAAAATGAATTTTTTTGTCACTTTTTTGGTCCCAAAGACCACCAGTCTGCCCCCTTAATAGCATTCTCTTCTAATGCAAAATAAAGTCTAATGCCTCATCTATCTAATTTAAATGGTAATTTAACTGTGCCCTGCTTTATCCAGAACACATTCTGCCACTTCCATCTCTCTTGATCATTTATACGTGTACATTAAGCACTTGCTGGTGTGTAAGTGATATCTGTCAAAAGGCTTTTTAATCACTTGCTAGACGAGTGATCTGCTGATCTAAAAGAACTGTTGTGTTTGTATCTGGGTTTCGTTGCATGATCTGCCTCCCACCGTGGTGGTTTAGTGGCTAAGGCCCTCTGCTGCTAACCAGCAGGTTGCAGGATTGAATCCTGGCTGCGGTGGCTGCATTTTCGATGGAGGTGGCTCTAGGCCCGTGTGCTCGGATTTGGGTGCCCGTTAAAGAACTCCAGGTGGTCAAAATTTCTGGAACCCTCCACTATAGCATCTCTAATAATCATATGGTGGTTTCGGGGCATTAAACCTCATATATTATGATCTTCTTTCTGTGTTGTTTTATTGAGCATGAACTTAGAGCTGCTAAATTTGTGCAGGCATACTACTATAATGCCCGTACTCGAGAGTCGGCTTGGAATAAACCAGAAGGACCTGGTATCAAAGTGCTAAGTCAGGAGCAGATTGAAAGCATGGCAGCTGCTGCAGGAGTTGCTCCTGGCGGAGGCCTTGTTACTAATGCTGTGCCAGGTAAGGGCTACTTCTGTCTTCCCATTGGTCATCTTGCTTCTGATCACGTTTGTTGGACGCTTATAAAGATCATTCAAGTGCCATGAAGGGTTTTTTTTATAATGATTGCATTTAACAGGAAGAAGGTAAAAGCAAAATAAAGGGGCGGGGATGGCAGAGCTATTGTTTTAATGACAGCTCGACTGATGCCCCTCCATTCCTCCTTTCTTCTGTGATAGTTTTTGCTAATTCGGTTTTATAAGTCATGATCGTTTCTTGCACAGTGCCAGTGCACGGCCTTTCTTACCGCAATGAAAGGCTGATGTGGCATTTTCATGCTAAGAACACTGCTGTAAAAATGTAATGTGAGTAGGTACTTTTGGTCTCTATGGGAAAATGACTGAAAGAATGGGGTGGTTTTGCATAGACAACAGTGGAATCTTGATGATGCGAATTGGTGCGGAGCACGTAAAATATTTGTATTTCGAGTTCGTATGAGTCGACGTGATTTTCTTACATCGACCGCAGGAGGTCACACACGTCTGCGCCTTCACCTTCCCTGTTAGACCCAAGCTCCTTTGTCTTGTTGACCAATTCTTAGGTAGATCCCAGCCCACAGGTCGGGACTTTGTCGTTTGTGGTGACAAAGTCTCATGCTGATGCTCGAGTTTCAAGGTTCTTCCAACTCTTGATGTGCAAATCATCATCAGGCTCTTCATTTTCTCTCGTCAGAGCCACACCCTGCCCTGCGAAAACTGCATACTTGCAGTGTTCTACCACTTTGCCAATTGCGACAAACTGGGCCAAATTGTTCTGGCTGCTACATCCTGCTACATTTCCTCAAAATTTGGCGAGCCTGTGCCCAACCTGCACCAAAGGGTGCTCTCCGACTTTTAGAAACGAAACTACTTAAGGCATAGAGTTTCCTAAATTAATTAGAAGGGACTCTGGCACTGCAGTCGTTCAGCGACCACGGGAACGATGGGTAGTACACGGATTTGCCGTCTCCGTACAGTCGAATCTCATTAATTTGAACACGCTTAATTTGAACTTCGGGTTAATTCGAACTCACGATGATCTCCCGTCAAAGCTATGTGTATTTTAATGGGTGAAAACGCCCAGTAATTCGAACGCGCAAACACTTGCGACAGTTAATTCGAACATACCGTGCTCCGAAAATGCTAAATGCTCTCAGCACCATGCCCAATCCCGCGGCGGCCCCTCCGACACCTCAACGCTGCGCGCGAAAGAAAGGAAAAGGAAAGAAAAGGTTGTGGTGGAATGTTTGCTTTCTGTCAAATGCCGATCTGCGACGCGCCTGTGCCACGCTTTTCCCTTTTCCACCCCTGCCACGTGAAGACCCTTCTCATTCCAACGTCATGCGCAAAGAGAGAGAGAGAAAAAAACTGTCCCTGAGTGTGGCTCTCTCTCATGCGCTGGTGCCATGCTTTCCCCTTTTTCGTCCCTGGTGCGTAACCCTTCTCCTTTTAACGACGCGCGTGAAGAGAGCAAGAAAGAAAAAAAAAGCAGCCTGGGAGAGTTGGTTTATCTCAAATGCCGATCTACTTCTCTCCGCGTGGAGACGCTCCTTTCTTGTTACATGCTGGCCACGCTGCAGCTTTGGCACAGAGAGCAGTAGTGGAGTTGCAGTTGTTGTTGTCGTCTTCAGAGAGTGTCAGCGGCTGGACACTGCCGCACGCAACTTCTCTTGCCAGGAGAATGCTGCAGCTGAAGTAGACATGCTTTACAAGCTGCGTGCCAAATTGATTGACTCGCTGCAAGGCAAACGTGTGCAGACGTGCATCACCGATTACTTCACTTAAGGGGGCACACGGGTCTTTGGGGCCGAAAAATTGCCCAAAAACGCATTTTTTTTTAGATGTCATTTTTGAAATCTACAGGTATTTTTCTATTAATTTGCTCAGTTTTTCCTCCAAAAAGTTGGTACTTGAACAGTAACAGCTACTTATAAAAGCCGTACGGGCCCGATTTGGCGAGATTCTGACGCCAAAATGGCAATTTTTCAATAATTCCCCGCAGCTTCGCCACGGGCAGTATCGCAGTGATCTAGGTCTCATTTGAAAGTGCGGTCTTCGGTCTTCGATTTCCCGCCACTCTGGCAATTTTTCAATAATTCCCCGCGGCTGCGCCACGGGCAGTATCGCAGTTATCTAGGTCTCATTTGAAAGCGCGGTATTTGGTCTTCGATTTCCCGCCACTCTGGCTCCTGTCCGCTCATTGGTAGAGTAGAAAACACGTGCCAAAAAAAGCAAAAATACGCGTTCCTATTCGCCGGCGAGCGCACGTGACTGAACAGCGCAACGCGATTGGCCGCAAGCGGCGTGTGTCGTCTGCTTCGCGCCGTCGGCGGCGCAGTCAGGCGCCATATTGCTCGAACTGAGAACGACGGATTAGCCAAGGATCGCGCGCGATGTGGAAAGCCGGAAGGAAATTCTACACAAGGAATCAGTACGGCAAAAAAAGAAAGAAGTCGCTCTTCGAGAACTTCAAAGGCCGTTCCGCGTCAGTGAGGAGCGCTGAACGAGCAAGCGACCCACCTTCCGTGGCCAGCGGCGAGGCCCCTGATAACATAGGCCTAGCACCTCCGCCGCCGCCCGCTCAAGATAACGCATCCGGCAGCGGCCGCGTTCGTCTTGACACAGCAGTGCTGCACCCGTTAGAAGTGGCAGAGGTGCGTCGCAACGCCGAAAACAAGCTGCAAGAACTCGCTTCAACTGGAGCAACACAACGCAAGTGCGGCCTGTTAGCCGATATCGACGATGCCGCAGCCACGCCGCTGGACGAAACACGGTTTTTGATCGTGAGTTTGGACCAGGTGAACGAACTGATGCGTGCAGTGAAGTGAAAATTGTGCTCCGGTGATGTAAACATCGGCAAAGAGGACAGGGAGTACGGCCTTGCCTTAAGCTAGTGCTTATGTGCGCGACCTGCGGCGATGTGTCGGTGGCATGGAGCTCGCCGCGCGTTGACGGCGAGAGCAAGGCAAAGCCGTTTGCCATCAATGTTTTGGGCGCGCGCGCTATGCAGTCTACTGGCAATCAGCAAACGGCATTCAACGACGTTTTTTCATCGATGAACATTTCTTCGCGCGGCCTGCACAACAAAACGTGGCAGAGCTACGTGAAGACGAAACTGACGCCCGCAGCTGTTCGTGCGTCGGAAAAGCTGACCGCGGAGTGCGCGCGATCGGTTCGGGAACTGTACGTGGAACTGGACCTCGGCAACCCGGGCAACATCGCTGTGTCGTACGACGGTTCCTGGATGACGAGGGGACACTCGTCGCACATCGGAGTCGGCACAGTTATCGAGTTGTTTACGGGGCTTGTGCTCGAGTATGTCGTGCTCTGCAATTTTTGTGCCGGCTGCGAGCGGGCGCCTAAAGAAAGTGACCCGTCCTACGACGAGTGGAAAGCGAACCACCACTGCCAGAAAAACAGCACAAAAAAAGCTGGAGAGATGGAAGTGGAAGCTGCCCTCATTCTGTTACAGAGGTCGTGGGAGCGTCATAAGCTGAGATACACTACAGTTCTTTCTAATGGCGACTGCCGCACCTACCCTGCTTTGAAGGAAGCAGATGTGTATGGTTTTATAAAGGTAACCAAAGAGGAATGTGTGAACCACGTCCAGAAGAGGATGGGCACGCAACTGCGCAATCTCCCCAAGCAGAGGCCAGCTGGCTCTGAGAGCCTCAGTGGTAGGGGGCGGCTGACTGGTGACCTGGTTAACAAATTGACCTCTTACTATGGCTGGGCTATCAAATCTCACAAAGGGGACGTGCCAGCCATGCACAATGCTGTGATGGCCACATACCACCATGTGACGTCCAACGATGCCGTGTCCAACCACATGGCCACATACCACCATGTGACGTCCAACGATGCCGTGTCCAACCACAGCCTGTGCCCTACAGGTCCTGACTCGTGGTGCCGCCAGCACGCTGCCAAGGCCAGGGGTGAGCCAGCCCCCAAACACCGCTACAATCTGCCGCCGCATGTCTGTGAGGCCTTACTTCCAGTGTACGAACGCTTGGCGGACAAGAAGCTGCTGGAGCGCTGCCAGCGAGGCAAGACTTAGAACAGTAATGAAAGTCTCCACTCTGTGATTTGGTCGCTGGCCCCGAAGGAGCGCCATGCATCACTGCACAGTGTAGGAGCTGCGGTCGCCGCGGCAGTGATGAGGTTTAATGCCGGAAGTCAAGTAACATCATCCAAGATCCTCAAAGAGCTGTGCCTGAACCCCGGCCTACTGAGTAGCAAACGCATGGCTGAAAAAGACCGCCGCCGAACTAGGGACTCTACCCTCAGGCGTGCGTTTGCAGAAAATGTGCAGCGGACGCTCAAGAAGCGGCACCTGGAGGCCAGCAGTCAAGGGGACTATGCTACTGGGGCCTACTAGTCATTTCGCTCCAAAAATGTACAGAATGTTTTACCGTTTACATTAAACATGGCGCTGTTGTGTTTTTTGCCATTTTCTCAAAATGCATATTTTGACGTTTAGGAAATTCTTGAGAGGTACATCTCGGCATGCGGTGCAGCTAGAAAGATAATTTCTTTTGCATTGTCAAGCTGAATGTTTAAACCTTGAAGTAAGGGAAACAGATTTTGCATTTCACGTTTAAATAATTGTTTAAATAACTGGTTAGCAGGCATACTTTAAACCGAGAAATTAGAATTGATGTAAACTTGCATGTGTGAGTGCCAGACAAAAAAACTGCTTCCGTCATTTCATTCTCCACAACTTCTAGTATCTATTCATGCCATGCTGGTAATTTTTTGTTGACTAGTTTTTTGTCTATTGTTCTCAAGAACAATCACGAAAGTTTTTTAATTATCTCAGGAACGAATTAGCTTACATCAAAACTAATCGGATATTTGAAATCAGCTAAAAAAACTGAACAAGCCCATGGAGTTTCATTAAAATTGGTTGGAAAGCAAAAAAAAAAAGTTTCTAAGACCAGTGTGCCCCCTTAATGACGGATGTCCTGTGATATTTGAATAAATGTAAATCTTCTGAAACTTCTTTCTCGTGTATTAGCTCAATGCACATGCGCCACTGCATGGGGAGCCCTCCGTTTACTTAGCTTTCATTAATTCAAACTTCTTTTAAGTCTTATTGGCGCGTTCGCCACATTGCCGCCATCATGCCTCTGAGCATTTCCGGTGCTTATTCGTTTGATATCACATTATCGTGCCGTTTTTTTTTTAAGTGCTCTTTTTCTTTTAACTGCTTCACTCTAATGCGTGTATGTATTGTGGCAAAGGAGACATTGCTGTGACGCCGAACGATTTTTGAACGACGAAGTCATAGAACCATTGTGAACTGGTCACAAAATCTGCTCAGCCGCCGTTGTGTGATGGCGATGAGAGTGCACCTAACCAATCTAGCTAAAAAAGCTAGCTCCTCGAATGTGAAACATGGTTCTGATTTTGGATTTGATTTTAATGCTAAATTAATTTTTGTTCCTGTTGTCACCTTGGTTTGTATTTTTTTCTCAGCGTTTGCTCTTTGTGCTTGCCTCTTTGACCATGGTGGAGGGTCCGCAAGCTCTTGTTGTTCGGTTCTCAATTATCGGGCGCGAGGACCACCATTTGAGGCGCGGGCGCTGCAATCGCTGTGACGTGCAGGGTTGGATCACGTGATCTCGCTTCGCCCTGGTGAAGGAAAGCTGGCGGTTGGATGCGTTGTTTTTACCGTGACTTCACAGTGTTTTCATTCCTGAACAGTGTTGTGTTGCTCTGACTTCAACGTGCAGACTTCAATCTGCAGACTACACAATCCTGAAAGTTGCAATAAATGTTGCTGGCGGCGTGCCACAGTGCACTACGTACGCAATACCACTGTCACGGCCGCTGACAGTGCCTCTGTCACCTCCCTCTTTCTTTGTTGTTGTAGTTATTTCGAGCTTATGGGGTTAAAATGAGCGCCGCTCATGAATGTTCACATAAAAGCAGAACCTTTCTGTTTCCACATGGGAGCCTTGTTTTCAACGAAAAATGAATGTACGAACAGTCCAATTATTTTAAATTAGGACGTAGGTGTGAACATGTGAGGGAAGTTGCCTTCTTTACATTCAAGAATGGGTGCCGTTTTCTAAATTGTCAGAGAGTCAATATATAGCCCAGAAGTATAGTACTTTTCCCTTTATTTTTGTTGTTAATTTTCTCTTTTGAGGTCTATCTCGTAGCCAGTTGCTTCTGCATGTTCGGCCAGCACGTTCGACGAAACCTTCTTTCTTACATCATACATGTGCCGCTCTATTTTTGTTAAAGTTTACTTTTCTCGCCAAGGTAACATCTACCGCAGTCTGCGCCACCCACAATCTTCTTCCTCAGGTGCCCGTCACCATATGTGTACCTACCTGACCATGGGTTTCCATCCGCCAGTAACGTAGGGAGGGGATGGCACACCAAGCCCATACTCCCCCCCCCCCCCCCCCTCGGCCCCCTCAATTTTTTACATGGTATATGGCGCACAAAATAATGGTCTACCACATCTGCCTGGCCGGCTCAATTCTAATCAAGGTGGTGCCTCCCTCCAAAAAAAAAAAAGAAAACTAAAATTCTGCCAATGGCCCCTGCCGTCTGCGACTTCAGCTCACTGGGTTCCTCACTTATAGATTACGTCTGTAGAATGGGCCCATAGCCACTGCCACTTCCTGTCAATGTTGTTGTCATCCACAGGCGAAAGTGTGGTCAGCTTCGAAAACTGATTCGTCTTCTAAAAGCTGCCATGAAATATCACACAGCTTATGAATGAAGCTGTAGAAAAAAGAGAAGTGGGCACTGGCAATTTCGCTGAGACATGAAATTGCCTTTTAGATCATGGTATACTCAAGACCTCGCAGCTTGCTCATTTCTTGCTCATTCAAGGGTGGAAAAGGATACGGCTGGCTGATCGCATTTTGTTTTTACTATCATGATTTACCCCTTTGTGGAAGTTCTGGGACTGTTCACCAATACTCGTAATTTTCACCCTTGTGTGGTGGCTTCACGACAATCAAATGTGCAACGTCTGGCCACCGTAGAAATTTTGCGGAATAAATGTTAGGATTGCGTCACGGAGAAAAGTTATAACTCTCAAGGTTGTCTCGCGTTTGCCCGCAATCATAACAGAAAGGTTAGAGCTTGATGCGGCTGTAAAAATGCTGTGTTGCTTCCCGCAAAGCGGGAGTAAATGTCAACAAAGTGGGAAATCCGCTTGCACTGTGCTTTGTAGGGCTAAGTGTGCTAATGAAAAATGTAAATTTGCGCATGCTTGTCATGTCATTTGTGGCCCGTCTTTAGATTCAAACCTACAATGAAAGAAGTAGCGTGGTTGCGCGCACTTCTTGTAGCAAAGATAAGTTTGCTTACCATTGATACCCATTTGATCCTTGAATTCAACACGGAATGAGTCGTTACCTTTTACAGAAGCAGCATGCTCGGCCTACGTGGTTTTCATATAGGTTGCCATAGCAGAGGACGCCGGCGGTCAGGCTTTATGAAAAGCGTAACACTTTTTCGTAGCAGTTACTTAGCACTTCGTACAGCCATTGAAAAATCTGCAGCAGTATTTCACCGATTTCTTTGGGTGAAGTACAACAACAACAACAACAACAATAATAATAATAATAATAATAATAATAATAATAATAATAACAATAATATTAAAAGGAGACGTGAAAGCGGCTGCAGGCTGAGCGCGAGGGGGTGGCGAAGCAATCCCACCAGGTACGTCACAGGGATGCCTTCGGCCATGGTATGTCCTCGTGCCCAATACTCCAACTAGGAAACCAAAAAACAGGGTCAGTGGAGGAGGGATTATAAAAGGATGCAATGGCTTGGGGGTCTCAGTCGGAAATCTCCAAACATTTTTGATTGCATTCGTTGCTGGTACAGCTGGCACCAGGATGTAAGAAATTCTTTTTTTTTTACATTGTGACCAACTTCTTTCCCACCCACTGGCTGGAAGTCAGGGGGATACTGGCATTGTCATAGCTGCTTGCAGTATGTGATGCAGCTTAGGGGAAAATTTAGTGCGATGAACAAGTCATTTATATGGCTCGAAAAGGAATTCAGGCCTGGTGCTTTGTTTAATCAGCATTTCTTATGATGAAGCTGTACAACTTGATTTTTTCTTATTATTGCTTGCTCATAATTTGCTTATTCTCTTTTAGTGTCCACGCTGCCAATGGGAGCTGCAGCGGTTACATCGACCATAAGCACCATGACACCAACTCCAGTGGCGACAAGCGGTAGTGCAGTAACTGCTCCACAGTCGAGTATGGTTGCAGAAAATCTGACCGAAAAAGCACGCACCATGACGACACAGGGTGGTAAGTGTCACCGCTTGAAAGCTTGGGTGATGACAGATAGAAGCAGTTATTGCGCAGATGTACAGTTCAGTCTAATTCTGCGACGCCACTTCAACGAAATTTTCGCTGCAACGAAAAATTCACGATTCCCCGTCAGCAGTCGTCCATAGGAGTCAATGCATAAGTATTGTCGCCACAATGAACACTTTCTCTTCAATCATCCCGCTTCAATGAAATTTTACGATGCAATTCCAGGCTCAGATACTTATTGCTATGCATTAAACCCAATCTTGAACATTTCGATGCATTTTCAGAGCTTGAAAATGTGTCAACGAATGTTTCTGCGTTGGCACCACCAGAAACCGCCGCTGTTGAGCAAGCATGGGCGCCGCCATTGCTCGATAGCGATGGCAATGAGACTGTTCTGCTGGCTTGCTTTCGAGCCGCAGACGATCCGAAGCTGAAGCTCAGTCGCTCGGTTCATGGTTTTCTTCACGCAGCTGCTGGGTGGAACTGCGAATGATGTCTTTTTTGATTCCAATGCTTATCATTTTATTCGCGCTTGGCCAGTGTGGTACATAATCAGAGCGGCTGTTCGTCCGCATTATCAACAAAATCAGCTAGCCGCGAGTTATGGATGATAAGAATGGCATAGAATAATGCAAAAGTCGCCACTCTAGAATACCCTACCTCAATCTCGGCGTTGTCGGATACTTTTGACGGCGGACTACTGGTATTAACGGGTTGATGCAACTATTCGGTTCTTTTATGAAAGCGGTTTTAGGCATTGTTTCAGCGTGCTTTTTACCATGGCCTCGCTATGCATGATTGAGAATCCCGTTGTGACGCTGCTGGTAAAGAATAGGAAGCAGCGGACATTTTTTGAATTTTGAGAATAAACGTTTCTTTATTTTGCTAGCTCAGGTTAGCTATATATTTTTTACTTCACTACAATGAAATTTCCGCTTGTACAAAATTTTTCCCCTGCCCCGTCAGTTTCGTTGTAGCGGAGTTCGACTGTACAGTCAACGTCCGATTTCCCGGATGCCCAAAATTCCGGACATGCCTAATTTCCCAGACTCATCTGTGGCACCGTCAAGTTCCCCTTAAAGTCAATGTATTAAAAAGGCGGAAATTCTGGACGCTTATAGGCTTTGGCATCCGATTTCCCTAACTTTTTACTGTTAATCGCCGACCCAACATCACCACTGACGCCGCCATTTTGGTTAGTTTCATATCCTCGCGCCGCCAACCGCCGCATCGCGCTGCGGCTGCCTTAACCTCGAAATTGCATGTGTCAATCCGTTGACAGCTGTAGCTTAGCGGCTTTGCCAAGCCAAACCTCACTGTGTTCGTTCCATCCAGCATGGTCCATGTGTTGTTTTGCAAACTCCGTGGTTGTGTGTACGGTTGATCGTTTGCTGCTACGTGCTATCTGCAGTGATCACGTTTCCCGACCTTCAGCATCCACCGAGTTTCTAGCAGTTTCGTACTGCGCTTTTCGTCGAGTGGATTCGCCGTTTACAGTGATGGCACCGACTGCTCCTTCGTCTTCACTCATTATTTGTCTTTGTCTGAAATAAAGTTGAAAGCCTTCGTCCATGCCTTCGAAGAGCACAAAGCCCCCTCGTAGGCTCACGATGGGAAAAGCTACACTGTTGACCTCGGGTCTCCCGTCGGCATGCTAACGGAATCGTGGCAGCCGGTTACGCAAGATACTCTGCGGAAGTGTTTTCGCCACGGGGCCTTCACACTCGACGCCGAGACGGCAGTCTCACCCCAAGTGGACAGCATGTGTGACGAACTGCCACCCGCGCATGTTTCCTTCGAGTATCTGCGCGCTGCCGGCGCGTCGATTCCAGCTGGGATAACCTTTGAGGGCTTCGCTGATGCTGACAAAAACCTCAAGCTATGTGCGGATTTGACTGATAACGAAATCATTCGTCAAGTTACGGAGGATTCCGCGACACCGAGAATGAAGAGCCATCTCCTACGCCAACGAGCTCGGAGTTGAGGCGAGCACTGATGACACAGTGGCAACATGACGACTGAAATTGAGGCAGACATGATCGCGGGCAAGTGGAATGCCGTGCAAAAGAACATAGGTGACTTCTTGGTGCCCAAGTGCGAACCAATAGGTAGCGCCGGCCACGTCTGGTTTCTGTTTATATAAATATAAATGGCTCTTTTCAGAGCCACCTAGACGATTAGTTGGCTGAATTGCAATGGGAATCTTGTACTCTGGTCGTTACCCCTCTCCGTCAGCGAAAAATACCTACAAAAGAAGGTGCGTTTTTCACGTGCATTCGTTTTTCCGGACTGCCCGATTTTTAGGACACTTTCGCGGTCCCTTGAGGGTCCAGATAATCGCACGTTGACTGTATTTGCAAGTGTTTCTGCATAGGGTTGCTGCTAAATTCCTTTGGCAACACGTTGGATCATGACTAGCACAGTGGTGTGCCTGCATGATTATACCTATGTCGTCGTCCAAGACAGCAGGCTATTTGCATGCACATTTTTACACATTTTTCACCATTGAAATGCTCAACAATGAATTTTCCATCCACCACGATTGAACCAGTGGGTTTGATACGTGTGCAGGGTATGATGCAATTGCTCCTCATGCTCCCAAATGTGTGCCTTGTTTCTGATGCGCTCAATGCACGGAGATATTATGAGCATGTAGGAACTACAAACATTTGTCTTATCATGAATTTGGCTTATCATAAGTGCGCCTCGAAAATGGCACAAGGAAAGTAGAGTGTAAAAGAGCAATGCCCACACCTAGTGCCATAGTTGCTCTGAACCTAATGGGCACTAAACTTTTTGGTGCAATAATGCACCTGAATGTATATAAAACTGATACCATTCTAAAGTTGGCGGTTAGAAAAATGAGGAGACCAGTACAGTTATGAGAATGCTGCCGCATTTGTTCTGATCTGCTACATTTCATTAAGGCTACTATGTGCATGCTACGTATCGGAGAACTTCTCCGACGCTGCTGCAATTATGGCTTTCAATATTTTGTGGGATGCACAAAATTGTCCTTTGCTACCTTGAAAGCCAAGGGAACTTGGGACCAATGCCAGATGTCACTATCTAGTGTGAAGAGCACCATTTTTTGTTCTGCCTTTCTCAAAACTCCTTGACACTCACACTGCACCGACGCATGCAGTGGACTGTTTGCAATTCAGACTTTGATATTTCGTGCTCTTGGTTGATTCAAATTTCCAATTTTTGTTTGGCCTATGTTTTCGATTTGTCTGGAACTGCATCATGGGTAACTTTGTTGGTTCATACTTTGTGTGTGTTTTGGGAGGAAATATTAGCTGGCTTTGCTAAATCTAGCGGTGTATTTGTGCTCAAATATTTTTGAAAAAAAAAAAAAAGCCAGAATTATAGCCAATTGCCTGCCTCCATTTGTCAGAGCATTTAAAACAGTAAGACGGTGGCAATAGACATAATATGCCATCTTTCCTTTCTGGATACGTTGCACCAAGTCGTGCCTATGCTAAGTCAGTGGTGTGACAGCTGTGCCAATTGCGCCAAACTGCGTTCAAGGACCAATTCTGCTACATGCGGCTACATTTCCACTATTCTGTGCCAAAGCTGCGCCAAACGTAGGGTTGGCATATTTTGAAAATGAAACTACAACCTCTCAAAGTTTAAACTTCCTATAGCATCAGTCTATCCTTACGTGCACACCCCATGCTACCATGGGTAGGAGTACTGGCTGGATTACCTTTTTATGACAGCATAGACCGCTTGTATGACGTAAGTCACCTAAGGAATGCATATGCACTATTTAAGTAAAAAATAAAAACACTGTTCTCCAGAGGCTACAGATGTGCAAGGTTGGTCGGACCGGCAGCCGTGCCATTCGGAGAATTGAGTCGTGCAGCAGGGATGTAAATTCTTATTCCCTTAAATTTGCAAATGTTCAAAAGTTAACGTTTGCAGGGCTGCTGTGCCGACAAAACGAATGCCGAAAGAGAAGCGCTGTTGCAGAAAGTCGCCTACTAACTTTTCAGAGCTTCTCGTTGATGTGTCGGAATTCCCCGAATTAACAGCAACCGAATTTCCTCTTGCTTTAAGTGCGATGTCCGAAGCACTGATGACTGCGAACCACAACTCGAATGTTGCACATGCACCATGCACGCCCTCATTTTTGTAAACAACGTGATTCGTTGCTTTCATAATCGGAAAGTTGTCTCCATAACCCGCTCCAGAGCGTTTTGTTGACTCGGCACCAAACGGCACATATGCAGCTGCGACCGATGGGGATATTACGCGATTCGTGCTCATTCTCATTTTGAAAGGGCAGCGCAAAGACACTGGGAAAGAGAAAAGCAGTAAAGACAAACTTCACTGTCTTTACAGTGGAGACAAAATCTACTGTTTTTTTTTTTCCCCTGTGTCTTTGCGCTGCCTTTTCAAAATGCCAGTGGTGTGAAAGTTGCGCAATTTGTTCCAACTTGCACTAACTGGAAATTACTGCGCCATACTGCTTGAAAAGCTTGAAAAGCACAATAAGAAAACAACTTCTTTGGTGCAAACAGTACAGAAAAGTGAAAAAAAGAAAAAGAAGGTGAGGAAAGAAACAGATTGACGCCAAACTAACTGCTTTATTTCTCTCACAGCATCGCATGTACATGCCAAAAACTACATACATTGCATACACACGCACAGCTTCGTATTGTATGTATACTACGGTCGAACCCCGCTACAGCGAAACTCACGGGGTGTGGAAAATATTTCGTTCAAGCGAAAATTTAGTTGTAGAGAAATCGAAAAAATATAGCTTATCTGAGCTAGCAAAACAAAGGAATATTTATTGTAAAAAATTGAAAAAGTGTCAGCTGCTTACTATTCTTTCCCAGCAGCGTCTCGAAGCGATTCTCAGTCATGCATAGCGAGGCCATGGTGAAAAGCACGCTGAAACAACGCTTGAAACCGCCTTCGTGAACGAGCCAAACAGTTGCATTGCTGTCCGCCATCAAAGTGTATCCGACAATGCCGAG